AGATCTAGGCCACCTATCTTAAGACACTTTAAGATGAGATTAAGAGGAGGATTAGAGTGTCACCCTCATAAAAAATTTAGGTTGTCTACAAAGAGAGTTGATTATTAATCATAATCATCTATTAGAGGGGCTTAATTCTCTAAAGGTTTAAGGTATCTCATCTCTCTTTTAGAGGGTGTTTTTTGGCTCTCTCTAATAGTGGCTAGCCAAAGGAAAAATAAGAAAAATTAAAGCCTGGTCAATGACTTTCTCTTCCTTAAGATCGTCATGGAGAAGAGATTACCTGGAGCATATCAAGATCGTCGTGGATCAAGTATCACTTGACCTAAGACTAGCGCATAACGAGATCTATGCAACATCTAGATTTGGGGCGTCCTTGTAATCTTCTCTATAGATAAATTAACTCTTAATTCGTAGGAATTGTATCATGTATTTTATCATTCTATTGTATTAGATTCATTCTCTATTTTACCACACTTTTCATTTCTCTTGTCTTCACCTTTTTTAGATTTAATTCCGCCCTTCACAATCTCAAAGTATATATATATATATAATGAATAAAATTCTTACTCTCATTATCTATACTTCTTGAGGATCGACCCTTAATTATCCTAAACTGAAGACTGAGGTTTTATAAATATTATTTGTATGAACTTAGTTATATCATTATGTCATATTTAACTTCTAAATCGAGTTCATCACTTGTCCCAAGATGTTGCTAGTTGAATGTTTCAGAAAGTAAGAGGGCTGACTCCACCCATGATCATTGAGTAAGAGGATGTGATCGTCTTTTATTGTCCTCTCCTATATGGCCACACATCATCTTCCCACACTGCTGACGAATGACATCGCTCATATGCCATCTTTATCATCTCCAACTTTCTCCACAACTCTGAGGTCAATATGGGGTCACATCATTATAAAAATCAATCCTTCCCAACTGGTTTATCATCGAAGTATGATAACGTTCTCGCCGCCTTCTTTTCCACGAACTCTCACGTCTGTATCAGGTGTCACACTACACTGATAAATAAATCATTCCTGACTGTTTTATTTTCGATATATGACAGCTTCCGGCCCCCCGGGGTACTGTAGACCGATAAACCTTAACGTCAGAAACCCAATAAGAATACGGCATACTGACAGCGAGAGAGAGAGAGAGGAGGGACATCGTCAGTATCCCTTCATTGATTTGCGTGAGCTGGGCAACACAGAGCCCAACTGACGGGGTTGGGGAAGGGGTTAATGATACCTGCAGAAAATTTACTCAGCTCAAGTCTGCAGAAAGTCCCAGCAAAGTAGCCCGAGAAGAGGGGGAGGGCTATCACTTTGTGTGAGGTGATGAGGAAGAAGATGGGTCCCGACGAGGAAGCTTGTCCCTGGCTTGAAGGAGGAAAGGAGAGGGCCTCCGGTTCCCGGGCGGAGTTGACAATATTTTGATATGGAGTTTAACTATGAGGGGTCAAAACCCAAGGACATTAGGGTGCATCTGGCGGACTCACCGGGCCGCAAAGGCAAAAGCAAGAGTTCCCAAATTAGCAGCTGTCCTGTCATCTTCGATGAAATGTCACCAGAAATGTCACGTCGTTTTTCCAAAATGGGGAATAGAAAACGACATTTTCGCACAAGGCACTTTCAGCAAGGGAAGAGTTGACCACTAGACACCAACTCAAACTATGAGCAAGGAAAAGGAAAATTCGTCAGGCGGCAGAGAGAGCTCGGATTACAAACCACGGGTGGAGAGGGATGGAGCGAAATCTTGTGGGTCCCCAGATTCGGTTGACTTTCTGGTTGAACAGGTTCGACCAGAGTAGTTCTCATACCTAAAGGAACCTATCCTGCATCGCCATTATTTCTCCTCGGAGGGGCGCGATCCGATCTTTATAAAACCCAAAGCCTTCTGTCAGTGAGGGTGAACTATAGAGAGTGGATTCTTCCATGGCCATCGAAGCCCAATCGTCGGCCCCCGAGGAGAGGGGGAGAGAGAGAAAGGAAACCTTCAGACGAGTAGCCCTCCTCCTCAGCATCATCATATTGGTCGTCGGCTTCGTCGGTGCGCCTCTCCTCATCCGCATCTATTTCTTGCATGGCGGCTCCAGGGTTTGGGTGACGACCATCGTCCAATTCATCGCCTTTCCCCTCGTTCTTCCCCTCCTCTACGCCTCTTACCTCCACCGCCGGCGGCGAGGAGACAGAAAGCTCATCCAGCTCTCCGCCAACATCACGGCGGCGAGCGTGGTGATCGGAATCATCTCCGCTGCTGATGGCTACCTGTACGCCTACGGGTCAATGTCCCTCCCCGTGTCCACCTCCACGCTGGTGTTCTCCACGCAGCTGGTCTTCACGGCGGTCTTCGCCTTCCTCCTGGTGAGGCAGAAGTTCACGGCTTTCTCGGTCAACGCCATCGTCCTGCTCGTGATCGGGGCGGTGCTGCTCGGCGTTCAGTCCAGCGGAGACCGCCCCCCGGGGGTGTCAGACAAGAAGTATTACCTGAGTTTCATCGCCATGATCGGCGCTGCCGTTCTTTACGGCTTGATGATGCCTCTGATCCAGTGGACCTACTGGTGGTTAAAGCAGAAGGCGACCCTCACCACCGTGATGGAGATGCAGGTCGTCATGTCCGTCTCCGGCGTCGTCTTCTCCGTAGTCCCCATGATCATCAACAAGGACTTTCCGGTCAGCGCAGGCCCATCTTCTTCCTCCCCACCCCCCCCCCCCTTCTGTATGATCTACCCACCGCCATTGAGGAGCCTTTTTTGAGTTCTTTCAGGCCATTAAAAGGGAGGCAGAGCAGATTTACGAGCTAGGGGAAACCAAGTACTATCTGGTTCTGGTGGGCGCCGCCGTCTTATGCCAGGTAGCGAGCTTGGGCTACTTGGGGGTGACCTGCTGCTCCTCCGCCCTCTTCGCCGGCGTGGTCATCGCCATGCTTCTGCCGGTGGGGGAGATCCTGCCGGTGCTGCTGCTGGACGAGCAGTTCACCAGCGCCAAGGGGATCGCCACAGCCTTGTGCTTCTGGGGCTTCCTCTCCTATCTCTACGGTGAGCGCCAACAGACCCAGGAGAAGCCGGCGCCAACTCCCATCAACGCCGGCGTGGAGCTGATGGTGCCTCGTGCCAGCGTCGTCCCCACAGAAGCCACTCCCTGATAGGTGGCGGCGTCGCCCAGTTCTTTCTTCGTCCTCCAAATCTCTCCCATGGTTTATCAGTCAAACGCCCCTCGTGCCACACGGAATCCCCAGGAAATCTCGATCATCTCAACTTGCAAGGAAGCATGTCGGGCCCAGCGTTTAGTATTTTATCACGGTAATCATGTGTTTTAATCAGCATTAATTCCAGGTATTTTTACTACTTGAATTGGGACAATAACCGAGATCTTGCCCGTGATTAATGTAAGTCTTCGTGTTATTTAATAATCGACCATAAATTAGAAATCGCAATGTCCAAGTGGGTGGGTACCGAATTTTTTTGGCATAGATTTATAAAATATAATATGATAGATAATTCACATGCTGCCCACACCTTCGCCTTAAACAGTTTAGTCGAAGGCTGGATTACTTGAAATGGTAAGAATGATTCAGGAAAAAACATATATGAATGATATATTATTGTAATATGTATGATAATAAGTATTGATTATCATGTGACCCCTATAAGTGAGTGGTCATCATAGAGAGAGAAAAATTGAAATTTCTTTACCATTATATCCCTCTCATCAATATTATTCTCTGATGTATCTCCTCCGATCATTAATATCACCGATTCTCAAGAAAACTCTTCTTTTGCTTTTGACTCACCCAACACTCTCTCCCACCTTTGACCTGCTCCACTCGTCACATGTAAAAACAATGAAAAATTTTAGCGATGTACCCCTCCAATTATATACAAGTATATATAACCAATTATATCCCTAACCAATTATATACAAAATAGTTCCCCTCCAACCATGTATGACCTACTCCCAAGAAAGCCCCCCTCCAACCATGTATGACCTACTCCCAAGAAAGTCATCATCTTGCCGTTGACCCACCCAACTCTCTCTCCAAGTATCATCTGACACCCAGCTTCGAACAATGTGTTGTAAGGCACCTCTTCACTAATTGGCTGTGAAGTATCATATCACAAGGCAGTCAGCTCTCCAATCAATTGTTAAGAGTCACGCCCTATGCTAGAAAAATGTGTTGTGAGGCACCACACCAGCTCATATCACAAGGCACCCAGCTCCAACCAATGTGTCCCAAAGCCTATCCCAAATCAAGTGACACCAACTTATTGTGAGGCACCACACCAACTCGTACCACAAGGCACCCAGCCCAAACGAAAGTGTCGCGAGGCACCAGCTCTGAACCAAGTGTCACGAGGCACCTGCCTTGAAATAAGGTGTCACTAGACACCCCATGTGATGTTACATCAAGCTGATGTATTGGGTTGTGTAAAGTACTAATGGACTCTAGCTGTCTGACGTGACTCAGTCGTTGTATATTAAATCACGCAAATATAAAATTTATAAAATTAGAAAATACAAATTTTCAGATATTTAGAAGTATTTCTAAATAAATATATTAATTATAATTCAATAAAAATTCCAAAAATAGCGGTAATTTTCCAGGTCGATCACAGGGATGTAATATAATATCTGGTAATTATTTAGAATTTTTTTCAATGAATACGATTTTCTTACGAATTTTATACTAGGAAATAAAAAGGAAATATATTTAAAATTCACGAAAAAAAAGGAAATAAGGGTGCGGGCGTCAGGATGACGTCAGCGCCCGGCGAACGCGAATCAGGCGGAAACAGAGTTCCGCCCGGCGATTCTTACGTAAGCGATTACAGACGACTTAATTAATCAAATTAAAATCTGTAAAAGCCGGAAGAATCGTAATTTAACGAAGTATAGTTTGGTAAATTAAAATCACACAAAGTATTACTAAATGAAGTGTAAATTAAATTGAAAGTAGGAAAACAGAGTTCCGGCGTTGCGACGGCGATGCGTCGGCGATGCACCGGAATCCTGAGCGTTCGAGAGGATCGTCGTGTAGTGTCCACGGCCTCGAAGGCTCTCCTTGGACAAAGACGACATGGGCAATCTCTAGATCTTCTCGCGAAGTCTAGAGATCAATGAAGTGGGTCGTCGAATCGTCTCCGGCGGCTGTCACCCGGCGGAGCAGAAAAACGGTGACTTTGCGGCTCTCCGACGGCTGTCACCCGACGGAGAAGAGCTGGATGGAGGTGGGGCGCGTGTCAGGGAGCTTCATCCTCAGGTCCGCGCAGCAAGAGGAGGCTCTTCATCGCATCTGGTACGCTCTCAAGAGGTGGCGACTGGTCTCCCGGCGGATCGTCCTCTTCCGGACGACGGCTTGTTCGTCGATCAATCGGAGATGATTTACTCGATGGATTCGCGATCCTTTTATCGCGAATCGTTCAGCAATTTTAGTAGCAATGCTCCGCGAATCGCGTTGACGAGATTTTCGCCGATGATCCAGCGATTCTCGTTGCTTAATCCTTCACCGGCGATCTGCAGGAAAGTCGCGATAATCAGATAAAAATATATGAATTTTGACTCTGGGAGGATTCGAACCCGCGCCAGTCGCCCGCCTCTTCTGAGGAAGGTGTGACGGGGGTTTAGTCCCACATCGGTTGTACGCTGATTTTTCGAGCGAATATATACTAATGTTAGCTTTGTGAGCAAAGTTCTTTCTCGCGCGTGCATGACCACTCCTTGCCCCACAGCCGGCTGACCACCGGTGATGTGGAAGGGGAGTGGCGTACGCGTGCCCTGTCGGTCCCCAAGCCAAGCCGCTCGAGCTCCTGCTCGTGGCTTACTCCCCGACTGCGCTTCCGACCCGCTTGCGGGCACGGCTGGCCGGCGGGTCCCCCCATTTTTGCAATATTTTTATTTTTATTTCTTGTTCTTCATTTATCTCAAAAGTAAGACTGTAAAAATCGTATAAAATCACATAATTACCCAAAAATTCACGTTAATCAATTGAAAACTAAAAATCATTCTTTAACACAAATATAAGTCTATTTATAATGAGTTAAGGCTAAAACTATATTATTTACTAATTATTAACTCATGATAATGAAGACTTATCAGGTTGTCACCTAGCGGAGTGGAAAAACGGCGACTTTGCAGCTCTCCGACGGTTGTCACTTGACGGAGAGGAGCTGGATGGAGGTGGGGCGCATGTCAGGGAGCATCATCCTTAGGTCTGTGCAACAAGAGGAGGCTCTTCATTGCATCTGGTACGTTCTTAGGAGGTGGCAACTCGTCTCCTAGTGGATCGTCCTCTTCCTGACAATGGCTTGTTCATCAATCAATCGAAGATGATTTACTCGATGGATTTGTGATCCTTTTATCGCGAATCATTTAGCAATTTTAGTAGCAATACTCTGCAAATCGTGTTGATGAAATTTTCGCCAATGATCTAGTGATTCTCGTTGCTTAATCCTTCACCGGCGATCTGCAAGAAAGTCTCAATAATCAGATAAAAATATATGACTTTTGATTCTGGGAGGATTCGAACCCACGCCGATTATCCGCCCCTTCTAAGGAAGGTGTGATGTGGGTTTAGTCCCACATCGGTTGTGTGCCGATGTTTCGGGTGAATATATAGTAATACTACATTTCTAAGCAAAGTTCTTTCTCTCGCATGTACGACTACTCCTTGCCCCATAGCCGGCTGGCCACCAGTGACGTGAAAGGGGAGTGGCGTACACGTGCCCATATCAGTCGAAGCCGTTCGAGTCCCTGCTCGTGGCTACTCCCCGACTGAGCTTTTGACCTGCTTGTGGGCCCGACTAGCCAGTGGGTCCCCCCCCATTTTGTAATATTTTTATTTTTATTTCTTGTTCTTCATTTATCTCAAAAGTAACACTGTAAAAATCGTATAAAATCACCCCAAAAATTCACATTAATCAGCTGAAAGTCACTTTTCACATTTTAACACAAATATAAGTCTATTTATCATGAGTTAAGGCTAAAACTATATTATTTACTAATTATTAACTCATGATAATGAAGACTTATCAGTTGCACCAAAAATAAATTATAGAGGCTCTTGAGAATAAGAGAGAAGAGGGACAGCTACTTAGTCAGCCTATAGAAAATTCAGGGAACTACCCAACAATAGGATTTCAGCAAGGGGAGTCTAGTAGTATGAATCTAAGAAAAAACCCATGAAATGATAATATTAGGACAATGAATACATTGAGTGAGAATATTTTACCTGATCCTTATTTCCAACTATTAGAAGAAATTGATGATTCATTAGAAGTAAATGAGAATATTAAGGTTGAAAATATAGTAACAGAAAATTTAAATAAAATCATTTATTACTCACAATTGATGAATGAATATAGTGAGGATGATGAGGAGAAAGAGCCCTTAGATGAAGAAATAGTGGCTGATCATAAAAAAATCATCTAAATTTTAGTAGACGGGAGTAAGGACAAAAATGGAAAAAAATATATTTTAGGTGAGGAAAAATCAGTTGATTTGGGAGATGTAGGAGACAAGATTAATAAATCTAATCATAATTTTGTAGTCATGGATGTTGATAATGAGGATGATGATGTATATCATATACCAAAATTAAAAGATAGCTCTTGAGAAGATAAAGAATTTGATGAGTTGAGAAACAAAAAGCTAGAAAAAGAGTTGATTCAACTAATGGAAAGAAACGAAAATAATGAATATGAATATAGAGATAATTTTGGAGGAGCAAATTTAAATTTTACTGAATTCATTAGATCTGAGATTAAAGAATACAATCCTTCCATCCTTCAAAACCCACAGCCTATTAGAATTATTTCTAAGCTTGAAATATTTCACTCCTCACAGATTGAACAAATATGTATGGAAGATAAAATAGAGTAGGGGAAGATTATGTAGATAAAAGAACACGTTAAGAAATGGGTGAGTGGAAGAATTAGAGATATCAATTTAGATGAAAAAATTCTAGATTGAGTAAGAGCTAATTTGAAAATTATATGGCCTAATCACATTTTATGGTCTATTAATAGAAGGTATTTATTAATGAATGAGAGCCTTACAAAACAAGATAGAAATGAAAAAAGATTCTTTTCAAAATGGAAATATTATTTTTGGGAAAAACATTTTAATTTTCATTTTGTTTTGGCTGAAGTATGTCAAGGTATATATATGAAGTATATGAATTTATGCTAAATCTGAAAAAGAATATCATGAAACTTACCTTGGGATACAAATATATTTTGATGGCCATAGATCATCTTATATGATCTAAGAGTTGTCTAGCTGAAGCCATTAAATTCAGCGCTGCATGGGAGGCAACCCATGGTTTTTATTTCATTTTGTTTGATTTTTTTCTAAACTCTATTTTTCTTAGAATTTTGCAATACTTGTTTTTGTATTTGTTTTTCTAAAAAAGTGCAAGAGGAGGCGTCTAAGATGAAGTGAAAAATTAAAAATGAGGTTGAGGTGATGTCTTTCTGAGCTTTATTATTTATGAAAATATTTTTAGTACTTAACTTTGCACATATGCATGCTTCACTTGAAAATTATATTTTCTGTATATTCTGCTTCAATTTTTCTATGTCATTGAGGACAATGTCATTTTAAGTTGGGGGGTGAAGTATTCATTATTAATTTATGCTGTAGGACGATTAAGAACATGTGTTTGTATTATAACAGTAACTGAAAAAATAAAAAATAAAATAAAATTTGAAAAATTGCAACATCTATTTTCTTATTTTCTATCAAGAACAAGAGACTGTCAAAAATAGCAGATAAAAAACAGCCCAAATTTTGAAATTCTAGAGACTCTTTTCTCACATTTCAATCCCCTAGGCATATCTTATTGAAATTTAAAATTACAACTATAAAGATGATAGTTTTGATTTATTTTTGACAAATTTATTGTCGCTAAAAATAGAACTAAAAATAGAAAACAGAACTGTCAGAACTATCTAATTTACAAATTTCTTACATAATATTACATGCATAAAAAGTTAAATCAATTAGATTGATTGATACCAAAAGATACTAGGAAGATTATTAAGTCAAAAGAATGATCTAGTAGTATGAAATATTGGAATACTCCTTGGATATATGATAGATAATATAGATTTGATTTTATATATTTTTACTTCATGATCTTGATGGATAGTATTTACTTAATGTGAAAATTTGTTTGATCATTTGAGTTTAATAAAAATTTTTGCACCCTGATCTATAAGACTTGTGAGGAGAAATTAATTATTTAAAAAAAAAGAGAAAGTAATGTGAAAATCTAGAAACAAAGAGTACACATGGAGGGTGTGAGACATCATTCTCATCGTCGAAAATCGTGTATAAAAAATCAATTGCTGCAAAAATAAGTAGACAAAGTGAAAGCCCTAAAAATGAAGAGTACACATAGAGGGTGTGAGACATCATTCTTATTGTCGAAATTTGTCTATAGAAAAGGCTACTTATTCACTATATATATCAAAAAAATAAAGAGAAATAAGAAATATAGTGCAAACTTCAAAAATCAAGCCATAGAAAAAGGAAAATGTAGGATCAATATTATTCTTGGATGAGTATTGATAATTAGAACATCTTGTAAATTTATCTCTGAGTGAAGAAGTGATAAAGATGTGAATAGAAGAAGTGAAGTCTAGATTGTTATTCTAAAGAGTGCTTAAGCGTTTAAGTACTTGACATCATTCTTAAATACTTGATATAAGAGTCAAAAGTGTCTAAAGGTACATCATTAATTGTATTTGTTTTTATGTATTGAAATATGATGTTTGAGATTTCTAAATTTTTATTTTCGTAATTTCATTGCTAAGGGACTAGCAATGATTTAAATTGGGAGGTGTGAGAAGTCTTCATTATCATGAGTTAATTAGTAAATAATAAAGTTTTATCTTTAACTCATGATAAATAGACTTATATTTGTGCTAAAGTGTGAAAACTAGTTTTCAATTGATTAATGTGAGTTTTTAGATAATTATGTGATTTTATATAAATTTATATGAGTTTTATAAGCTTACTTTTGAGATCAATGAAGAAATAGAAATACAAATAAAAATATTACAAAATGAGGGGACCCATCGGCCAGCTGGGCTCGCGAGTGGGTCGGAAGCACAATCAGAGAAGAGTTGTGAGTAGGGGCTCGAGCAATTTGGACCGATAGGGGCATGTGTGCACCACTCCCCTTCCACATCACTGGTGGCCAGCTGGCTGTGGGGAAAGGAGTGGCCGTACACACGCGAGAAAGGGACTTGCTTAAGGATCTAACATTACTATATATTCGCCCGCCGCACAACCGATGTAGGACTAAACTCACGTCACCTTCCCTAGAAAGTGTGGCCAATCGGCGTAGGTTCAAATCTTCCAAGAGCCAAAACTCATATTTTTTTATTTGATTATCGCGACTTTCTTCCAGATCGCCGATGAAGGATTAAGCAACTAAAATCGCTGGATCATTGGCGAAAATCTCGTCAACGCAATTCGTAGAGCGTTGTTACTAAAATTATTAAAGGATTTGCGATAAAAGGATCGCAAATCTATTGACTAAAGTATCTCTAATTGATCAACAAATAAGCCGTCGTCGAGAAGAGGATGATCCGCCGGGAGACGAGTCACCACCTCCTGAGAGCATACCAGATGTGATGAAGAGCCTCCTCTTGCTATGCGGACTTGAGGATGAAGCTCTCTAACACACACTCCACCTTCATCTAGCTCCTCTTTGCTGGGTGACAGCCACTAGAGAGCTGCAAAGTTGTCGTTTTTCCACTCCGCTGGGTGACAGCCATCGAAGATGATTCAACGACCCATTTTATTAATCTCTAGACCTTGCAAGGAGATCTAGAGATTGCCCACGTTGTCTTTGTTCAAGGAGAGCCTTAGAGGCCGTGGACACTACATGACAATCCCCCCAAACACTCAAGATTCCGGTGCATCTCCGACATATCGCCGTCACAACATCGGAACTCTATTTTCCTACTTTCAACTTACTTTATGCTTCATTTAGTGATAATTTGTGTGATTTTAATTTACCAAAATATACTTCATCCAATTACGATTCTTTCGACTTTTACAAATCTTAATTTGATCAATTAAATCATTTGTAATCGCTTACAAAAGAATTGCCAGGCAGAACTGTGTTTTCGCCCGTTTCACGTTCACGGGGGCACTGACGTCATCTTGACATATGCACCCTTATTTCCCTTTTTTGTGAATTTTAAATATATTTCCTTTTTATTTTGTAGTATAAAATTCATACAAAATAGTATTCTTTAAGGAAAATTATGAATAATTACCAAATAATATATTACATCCCTACGATTGACCTGAAAAATTACCGCTATTTTTTTAGAAGTTTTATTAAATTATAATTGATATATTTATTCAGAAATACTTTTAAATATCCAAAAAATCATATTTTCTAGTTTTATAAATTTTAAATTTACGTGATTTACTATACAATGACTAAGTCATGTTAAACTCATTTCTAGCTAAATGTATAGAAAGAAGAGAATTGTGGGTTTGTGGGTGGCTCTAATAAAGAGGTAAGGACAGATATAGGGTAATTAATGTAGGAATGTTATTACTTTTGATCAATTTCTCCCAAGATTTAGAGTGAAATGAGGGGGTGGCATAGAAAAAAGAGGAAAGAAGAGAAAGCTCAACACAAATATTATGACAGCAAGAAATGAAGAAATGAGCAAGCATGTCCTGGGCAGTTTTAAGAAGAAAGAGAATGAAACAATCCAAACTAAATATCCTTATATTAACTTTCTTTTTTTTCTTTTTTTTCTTTTTTTTTGATGCTAATGACTTCCAATTTTTCTCTCTTTTTTTTTGTTTTGTTTTTTTTTTGGGGTATAACCAAAATACCAAAAAGAAGATTGAAACTAATTTCATATACAAAGATAAGGACAAACTGCCTAAGAATTACTCACTAACTCAAATGTGAAAACATTAAAGACTATCTCTTGCTGTAGATCCAAACTAGTAATTCAAACATATTGAGCAAACACCAAGATAGATAGATGAAAAGTGGTTAGAAGCTATAGAATGAAATTGAGACAGATAAAAGAAAGGGATAGAGATCAAGTTGATATCACAAATAGGGAGGTAGACGGACTAGGAGTTAACCATATCATCAGTAATAAAGAAAACAAGATAGAGGGTTTCTATTATGGCTAATCAATGGGTGAGGGCTAAGGTGAAGTGGTGATAGTCTATTCCCATAGGGGGCTCAAAAAATAGTGATTCATTACTCAAGACTTGAAAGAATGCATACTCTATTCCCAGAATAAGATTCACCTAGTGAGTAATCAAAACAAATAAGTAAGTTCGGTTTCTAAATAGTGGTGTAGTGAGGACTCTCAAATCACTCATCACTCCATCCTAAGCCTATTGTATTTCAACCCTTCGATTTTCATGTACTATTCCATCGCCCTACTAGATATCCTTGCTACTTAGGGATTGACCTAGTACATCTAGATTCATGACTCATACTATTAAGAAATGCTATCAATCCACTACAAGAGCCTAACTTCACTACTCACCCTTTTAGAAACAAGGAATGGACAAACTTCTCAAGTGGGGATGGAATTACTATTTTGTATGCATGCAACAAGATGTATATAGAAAAATGAGATAAATATGCAATCATCATAACAAATTTTGACAGTTTCATGTTGCAAGCACCCCTGCATGGTCCTCAATGCATTGAGAAAGACATCAAACTAAGAATGAAAAGTATAGCGTAAGAATGGCAAACTAGGGGGAAAAATTATAATTGCAGTTGCAGCTGTGATTGTGGCTGTAGTAGCAGCTACAGCTGCAAGTCCTTGACTTCTCTTGCTAAATGATCTATACTAGAACAATATTCTTAAAGAAAATGGGCTAAATACAGCTGTTATTAGAAGGAAAGGACAATGCAAGAACCAAAATACCATACAAACTTCAAAACTAATAAAAAGAAAGCTTCTCAAAGTTTGTCACTAAGGTGGATGTGGAAGGGGCTGGATGCAAGGAGGGATCTAGCAGGTCCTCAAGCATGGTGACTTGAGGCTCAAGCATCTGATCAGCTCCTACATACTGCTTCAACCTTTGACTATTCACAGTAAAAGATTTCCCTGTCTTTGGATCCATGATGAGAACTACGCCAAAATCAAAAAGTTCATTAATAATATAAGGTCCATCCCATCTTGACTTCAACTTCCCTAGAAATAATTTCAAATGTGAGTTATACAGCCACACTTTCTAATTTTCATACAGGTTTCTTCTTTTCAAGACTTTGTCATGAAAGTGCTGCATCCTTGACTTGTATATGAGTGAATTCTCATAGGCCTCATTCCTCAGTTTTTGGAGTTCATGGAGCTGCAAAAGTTGACTCTTCCCTGCATCATCTAAAGAGAGATTAAGTTTCTTAATAAGACAATATGCTTTATGCTTAATTTCCACAAGAAGATGGCAAGCTTTCCCATACACAACTTTATATGGGGACATACCTAAAGGTGTTTTATATGCAGTCCTATAAGCCCACAAAGCATCATAAAGTCTACTTGCCTAATCTTTTCCATTTGGGTTTACAATCTTTTTCAAAAAAAAATTCTCTCTATTACTAACTTCTACCTGTCCATTAGCTTGTGGATGGTAAGATGTGGTCATTTTGTGATGGACTCCATATTTTTTTTAACAAATTCTAAAAATGAAAATTATTAAAATAACTGCCTCCATCACTAATGATTGCTCTTGGACATCCAAACCTACTAATAATATTTTGCATAATGAATTTAAGCACCACTTTATGATCACTTGATCTCGTAGGAATCACTTCTACCCATCTAGACACATAATCCACTCCCATAAGAATATACTCATATCCTTCTAAGATTGGAAATGGTCCCATAAAATCTATCCCCCATAGATCAAATACTTCAACCTCAATTATTGGCCTCAAGGGCACGTGGTCTTGCTTGCGCAAGTTCACTATAGCTTGGCACTTAAGACACTCTTTGGAAAATTCAAAACGATCAGCATGCAAGGTTGGCCAGTAGAAACCTGCTTGTAAAATCTTAGACTTTGTAATCTTAGGAGAATAATGCCCTCCATATGGGGAAGAATGGCATGATTCTACAATCTTCCGTTGTTCCTCATATGGGACACACCTCTTAAGCATATAATCTACTCCAAGATTAAATAATTCAGGTTCTTCCCAAAAATAATGTTTTACCTCTTTGAAGAATTTTTTCCTTGCAGTTATGTCACAATCTTCTAGTAGAAAACCTGAAACCAAATAGTTAAAAATATGTGCATACCATGGAATCTTTGGAGCTTGCACTTCTAAGATCTGTTCATCAGGAAAATGATCAAAAATAGGTGAAGGTGAGTCAAAATGTAATCTAGAAAGATGGTCTGCCACCACATTTTCACACCCTCTTCTATCTTTAATATCAATATCAAATTCTTGCATCAATAAAATCCACCTCATAAGCCTAGGTTTAGCTTCTTTTTTACCAAGCAAAAATTTTAAAGCAACATGGTCAGAAAAAACAACTATTTTAATAAATAAAGATGAAATTTTTCTAAAGCAAAGATAATTGCTAGTAATTCCTTTTTGATTGTGGAGTAGTTGACTTGTGCTTCACCCAAGTTCTTGCTAGCATAATAAATTGCCACCAGCTTCTTGTCTACCCTTTGTCCCAAAACTGCCCCTACTGCAAAATCAGAAGCATCACACATTAATTCAAAAGGTAAGTCCCAATTAGGGGCTTGGAGTATAGGCGCCTAAGTAAAAGCTTCCTTCATCTGCACAAAAATAGTTTCAACATTAGAATAAAAAATGAAATCAACATCCTTTGAGAGCAGATTAGTTAAGGGTTTGAAGATTTTAACAAAGTCCTTTATGAATCTCTTATAGAAGCTTACATGGCTAAGAAAACATCTAAGTTGTTTGAGATTTGTCGAAAGATGAAGGCTCTTGATCACCTCTATTTTGGCTTTGTCTACTTCCAACTCATGTTTGTTGACTTGATGCCCCAACACTATTGACATAATTTAGTCATTGTATAGTAAATCACGTCAATTTAAAATTTATAAAGCTAGAAAATATTAATTTTTAGATATTTAGATATATTTATGAACAAATATATCAATTATAATTCAATAAAAACTTTAAAAATAGTAGTAATTTTTTAGGTCGATCATAGAGATATAATATAATATCTAATGGAAATAAAATTTTGTTCGATGATTCTTACATAAGTGATTATAGACAATTTAATTGATCAAATTAAGATCTGTAAAATTTAAAAAAATCATAATTGAATGAAGCATAACTTAATAAATTTAAATCACATAAATTATCACTAAATGAAGTAGAACTTAAGTTAAAAATAAGAAAATAGAGTTTTGACGTCACGACGGCGATACGTTGACAATGCACTGAAATCTTAAATGTTTGAGAAGATCATCATGTAGTGTCTACAGCTTCAAAGGCTCTCCTTAGATAAGGACGACGTGAACAATCTCTAAATCTTTTTGCGAAGTCTAAAGATCAATAAAATAGGTCATCGAATTATCTTCAACAGGTGTCACCTAGCGGAGCAAAAAAATAACAACTTAACTCTCTAGTAGTTGTCACTCAAAGTAGATGGAGGTAAGGGATGTGTCACGAAACTTCATTCTCAAGTTTGCACAGCAAGAGGAGACTCTTCATCACATCTAATATGCTCTCAAGAGGTGGTGACTCGTTTATCGTTAGATCATCCTCTTCTTGACAATAGCTTATTCATTGATCAATCAGAGATGATTTACTCAATAGATTCACAATCTTTTTATCACAAATCATTCAACAATTTTAGTAACATCACTTTGCGAATCGTGTTGACGAGATTTTTGCCGATGATCCAACAATTCTAGTAGCTTAATCTTTTATCGACAATCTATAGGAAAGTCACGATAATCAGATAAAAATATAAATTTTAGCTCTAAAAAGATTCGAACTTACGTCGATTATCCACCTATATGAGAGAGATTGAAATAAATACTCTAATGCCCTTTTCAAGTGACGTTATTATGGTATATCTCTATTATAACTAAGAGTAGTTAAAGTATTAAAATCTTCGAAACCTTTCGTAGGAAGATGTGATGTAGGTTTAATCCCACATCACTTATGTGCCAAAGTTTTGGATGAATATATATTAGTATCACATTTTCAAATAATTAGTCTCTTTCTCTCATATGTATGACCACTCCTTGCCCACAATTGTTGACAATCGATGATGTGGAAGGAGAATACCGTACATATGTCCCCATCGATCTTAGCTGCTTGAGCCCTTACTCATAGCTCCCCCAACTACACTTCTGACCTACTTCTAAGCTCAATTGGGTGACGGGTCCCTCCCTTTTGTTATATTTTTATTTTAATTTCTTTTTCTTCATTTATCTCAAAAATAAGATTTTAAAAATCATAGAAATTTATAGAAAATCACATAATTAGCCAAAAATTCACATTAATCAATTGAAAACCAGTTTTCATAATTTAACATAAATATATGTCTATTTATCATGAGTTATGCTAAAAATATATTATTTATTAATGATTAACTCATGATAATGAAGACTTATTACACCCTCCAACTTAAATCATTGATAGTCTCTTAGCAATGAAATTACAAAAAAAAGGATTCACAAATCTCAAACATCATATTTCAGTACATAAAAAAAATTATAATTAGACATAATATATCTTAAGACATTTTGGATTCTTCTATCAAATATTTAAGAATGATGTCAAACACTTAATTATTTAAACACTCCTTAGAATAACAATCTAGACTTCACTTCTTCTATTCACATCTTCATCACTTTATCACTTATACATATATTTAGATGATATTCTAATTATCAATACTCATCCAAGAATAATATTGATCCTATAATTCCTTTTTTTAAAAGCTTAATTTTTAAATTTTATACTATATTTTTATTTATTTTTATATAGTGGTTAAATAGCTTTTCCTGTAAATAAATTTCAACAATAAGAATGATGTCTCACACCCTTCATGTGTAAAAATCTCTATTAAAATCAAATGATCATTCAAATTTTCACATCAAGTAAAAATTATCTATCAAGATTATGAAGTGAAAATCTGTAAAATCAAATCTATGTTGATAAGTCTTCATTATCATGAGTTAATAATTAGTAAATAATAAAGTTTTAGCCTTAACTCATGATAAGTATACTTATTTTGTGTTAAAGTTTGAAAAGTGGTTTTCAGTTGATTAATGTGAATTTTTGGGTAATTATGTGATTTTACACGAATTTATATGATTTTTATAAACTTGCTTTTGAGATAAATGAAGAAAAAAAATAAAAAATAAAAATAAGATAAAATGAGGGGGACCCATCAGCCAGTCGGGCCCACAAGCAGGTCGGAAGCTCAATTGGGGAGTAGCCGTGAGCAAGGGCTCAAGCGACTTAGACCGATAGGGGCACATGTGTGCCACTCCCCTTCCGCATCACCAGTGGTCAGCCGACTATGGGACAACAAGTGGTCGTACACACGAGAGAAGAGACTTAGAAATCTAACATTAGTATATATTCATCTAAAAAATCAGCACACAACCGATGTGGGACCAAACCTATGTCACACCTTCCTCAAAAAGGGCAGGCAACCGGTGTGAGTTTGAATCCTCTTAGAGCCAAAACTCATATTTTCTTATCTAATTATCACGACTTTTCTGCAGATCACCGGTGTAGGATTAAGCAACTAGAATTGCTAGATCATCAGCGAAAATCTCGTCAACACGATTCGTGGAGCATTATTACTAAAATTGTTCTACAATTTGCGATAAAAGGATCATAAATCTATTGAGCAAAGCATCTCCAATTGATTGACAAACAAGCCATCATCGGGAAGAGGACGATCCACCGAGAGATGAGTTGTCACCTCCTAAGAGCATACCAGATGCGATGAAGAGCCTCCTTGACGTGACTCAGTCATTGTATATTAAATCACGCAAATATAAAATTTATAAAACTAGAAAATACGACTTTTCAGATATTTAGAAGTATAAATATATCAATTATAATTCAATAAAAATTCCAAAAATAGCGGTAATTTTCTAGGTCGATCACAGGGATGTAATATAATATCTAGTAATTATTCAGAATTTTTCTCAATGAATACGATTTTCTATGAATTTTATATTAGGAAATAAAAAGGAAATATATTTAAAATTCACGAAAAAGGGAAATAAGGGCGTAGACGTCAAGATGACGTCAGCGCCCAGCAAGCGCGAATCGGGTGGAAATAGAGTTCCACCCGATGATTCTTATGTAACCGATTACGGATAATTTAATTGATCAAATTAAGATTTGTAAGAGTCGGAAGAATCGTAATAGAACAAAGTATATTTTGGTAACTTAAAAACACAAAAATTATCACTAAATGAAGCGTAAAGTAAATTGAAAGTAGGAAAAAAAAGTTCCAGAGTCACGACGACGATGTGTTGGCGATGCATCGAAATCTTGACTATTCGGGAGGATTGCCGTGTAGTGTCCACGGCCTCGAAGGCTCTCCTTGGACAAAGATGACGTGGGCAATCTCTAGATCTTCTCGCGAAGTCTAGAGATCAATGAAGTGGGTCGTCAAATCATCTCCGGCGGCTGTCACCCAGTGGAGCGGAAAAACAGCGACTTTGCGGCTCTCTAGCGGCTGTCACCCGACGGAGAGGAGCTGGATGGAGGTGGGGCGCATGTCAGGGAGCTTCATCCTCAGGTCCGCGCAACAAGAGGAGGCTCTTCATCGCATCTGGTATGCTCTCAGGAGGTGGCGACTGGTCTCCTGGCGGATCGTTCTCTTCCTGACGACGGCTTGTTTGTCAATCAATCAAAGATGATTTACTCGATGGATTTGCGATCCTTTTATCGCGAATCGTTCAACAATTTTCATAGCAATGATCTGCGAATCGCATTGATGAGATTTTTGCCGATGATCCAACGATTCTCGTTGCTTAATCCTTCACCGGTGATCTGCAGGAAAGTCATGATAATCAGATAAAAATATATGAATTTTAACTCTGGGAGGATTCGAACTCGCGTCGGTCGCCCGCCTCTTCTGAGGAAGGTGTGACGGGGGTTTAGTCCCACATCGGTTGTGCGCCGATTTTTCGGGTGAATATATAGTAATGTTAGCTTTGTAAGCAAAGTCCCTTCTCTCGCGTGTACGACCACTCCTTGCCCCACAGCCGGCTGGCCACCGGTGATGTGGAAGGGGAGTGGCGTACACGTGCCCTATTGGTCCCCAAGCCAAGCTGCTCAAGGCCCTACTTGCGGCTACTCCCCGACTGCGCTTCCGACCTGCTTGCGGGCCCGGCTGGCAGGCGGGTCCCCCCATTTTTACAATATTTTTATTTTTATTTCTTGTTCTTCATTTATCTCAAAAGTAAGATTGTAAAAATCATATAAAATGACATAATTACCCAAAAATTCACGTTAATCAACTAAAATCACAAATCATTTTTTAACACAAATATAAGTCTATTTATCATGAGTTAAGGCTAAAACTATATTATTTACTAATTATTAACTCATGATAATAAAGACTTATTACTCCTCTTGTTGCGCGGACCTGAGGATGAAACTCCCTAACACGCGCTCCACCTTTATCTAGCTCCTTTTCATCAGCTGACAACTATCAGAGAGTCGCAAAGTCATCGTTTTTCCACTCCGCCAAGTGACAGTCATCAGAGACGATTCGATGACCCATTTCATTAATTTCTATATCTCGCAAGGAGATCTAGAGATTGCCCACATCGTTTTTATCCAAGGAGAACCTTCGAGGCCATGGACACTACACGAAGATCCTCTCGAACGCTCAGAATTTCAATGCATCCCTGACGCATTGTCGTCGCGACGCCAGAACTCTTTTTTCCTACTTTCAACTTACTTTACACTTCATTTAGTGATAATTTGTGTGATTTTAATTTACCAAAATAGATTTCATCTACTTACGATTCTTTCGACTTTTACAAATCTTAATTTGATCAATTAAATCATCTCTAATCGCTTATGAAAGAATCATCAAATAAAACTATATTTCTGCCTGATTCACGTTTGCTAAGACACTAATATCATCTTGATGTCTGCACCCTTATTTCCTTTTTTTGTGAATTTTAAATATATTTCTTTTTTATTTCTTTGTATAAAATTCATAAAAAATAATATTCTTTGAGAAAAATTTTAAATAATTACTAGATATTATATTGTATCCCTATGATCAACCTAAAAAATTACTAATATGTTTAGAAGTTTTATTATTGAATTATAATTGATATATTTGTTCAAAAATATTTTTAAATATTTTAAAAATCATATTTTCTAATTTTATAAGTTTTAAATTTACATGATTAATTAAATTCGCCTGATTTGCATTCGTCGAGCATTGATATCATCCTGACATCTGCACCTTTATTTTCCTTTTTTGTGAATTTTAAATATATTTCCTTTTCATTTTCTAGTGTAAAATTTATACAAAATCGTATTCATTGAGAAAAATTCTAAATAATTACCAGATGTTATATTACGTCCCTGTGATCAACATGAAAAATTACCATATTTTTTGGAAGTTTTAATGAATTATAATTGATATATTTGTTTAGAAATACTTTTAAATATCTAAAAAATCATATTTTCTAATTTTATAAATTTAAAATTTGCATGATTTAATATACAACGATTGAGTCATGTCACATGTTATCTATCATATATCCAAAGAGTATTCTAACATTTCATATTATTAAATCATTCATTGAACTCAATAATAATCTTACTAATATCTTTTGATATCAATCAATCTAATTGATTTAATTTTTTATGCATGTAATATGATGTAAGAAATTTGTAAATTAAATAGTTCTCATAGTGCTGCTTTCTACTTTTAGTTTTTCTTTTAGCAACAATAAATTTGTCAAAAATAAATCAAACTATCCTCTTTATAGCTATAATTTCAAATTTTAGTAATATATGTTTAGGGGATTAAAATGTAATAAAAAGGTCTCTAAAATTTCAAATTTTAGACTATTTTTTCTCTATTTTTTTGGACAATTTGTTGTTCCTCACAGAAAACTAAAAAAAATTAGATTTATCTAGTTGTTGTTCTAAGTGAGCATGAAAAAAATGCAAACACATGTTATTAATTGTCCTACAACATAAATTATGAATTAATACTTCACCCCTCAACTTAAAAATGACATTGTCCTCAATGACACAAAAAAATCAGAACACAACATATAGAAAATATAATTTTTAAGTGAAGCATGCACATATGTAAAGTTAAGCACTAAAAATGTTGTCATAAATGATAAAACTCAGAAAGACATTACCTCAACCTTATTTTTAATTTTCCATTTCATCTTACACTCCTCTTCATACACTTTTTTGAAAAAAAACAAATATAGAAATAAGTATTACTAAATTATAAAAAAAATAAAGCTTAAAAAAAACAAAATAAAATAAAAACCATGGTTTGCCTCCCATACAACACTGAATGTAATGTCTCCAATTTGACACATTAATCTTACTCTTGAATTTCTTTTAATAGTAATTTTTTTTTTTCTATAAGACTTTCATGTTCTATGTAATATTTAAGTTTTCGTCTATTTACCTTAAAGTTATGATCACTTTTAAGATTTGTAATCATTATAGCCCCATGATCATGTCTCTTCCCCTACATAAGACCCTATCTATTTTGATTTTAATTTCTTAAAAATAATTTCAATTTAAAATCATATAATCACACTTTTTGTCTAACATCAAAAAAAATTCTACTAATATATTTATCATGAAAATTTTAAGTTTTTTCTTTATATATTCTATGATTTTCATAAGTTTCATTCCTCAACTATTCTAGTTCATGTAGCTGAAAAATTCTATGTCCACGAGCTAATTTATAACTCATAATACTTGTTCTATTTCCACAAAAAGATGACATGAGTTTTCAAAAATGAGACAAAATAAGAACATACCTATAAGATTTTTATAAGCTATTCTATAAGTCCATAATACATCTTGTAATTTCGTAGGTTAATCTTTCTTATCTAGTCTAATATTTTTTTTCAAAATTCTCTAAATTTTCTTATTTACTACTTAAACTTGTCCATTTGTTTGGGCAACTCTATGATGTACTCCATTCTTTTTCAACTGTTCTTTGATCACTTATAATCACTCTATGACATCTAAATCTTGAAAAAATATTTTCATGTACAAATTTCATTGTGATTTTATGATCATTAGTTCTAGTAGGTATAGCTTCCACCCACTTAGACATATAATCAACAACAAGCAAAATATATTTATATTTTTCAATTGATAAGAAGGGACTCATGAAATCTATTTCTCATACATCAAAAATTTCAACTACTAATATGTTACTTATGGACATTTCATCTTTTTTACTCATGTTACCTATAAATTAGTTTGAAGTACATGTTTTACTAAATTCTATAGAATCTCTAATGATTATAGGCCAATAAAAATCACATTGAATTTTTTTTGCAATTATTTTTCATTTAGAGAAATGTCCTCCACAATTAGATGAATGACACATATTAAGAATGTTATGATAGCCAATGACTAACTTTGTGTTCAAGTTTATGAGAAAATAATTTAATCTTAATAATTTTCAACATAATTTGAGAGAGATTAACTAAATCACAGACCATAAGAAAAAAAATTAAATACTAATGAGGTCCTCTAAAGGCAATCCATGAAAATTAGGGAGCATTTGAAAAAAGGTTGAATTTATTTCAAATTTAATAGTGGGTGCTAATGAGACTCTAATAAGTTTTGAATGCTCTTTGAAATGAATCAAGGGTATCATAATTTTCATGACCATAAAATTGTTCTCAATTTGACCTATACTTCTTTTAGGATCCATCAAAATTAAATTTTTCTTTCAGATTTTTAGTTTTGAATGAATAATAAAAAGATTTTCTAGCCTTTACATAAAAATCAATAAATTCAAGAAAAAAGTTTAATAATTATTACCCTCCTTTAGTATGCTCTAGTTTTTTCCTTTCTTCTCCTCGTTCCCTATTTTTTAAAAAAAAATTATAAGAAGAAAATAAAACAAGAGTTAATTTTTTTGTGTACTCTAAGAGAAAAATAAAAAAATATTAAATATTATGTAATACTAATAAGAGTTACCTTGCTCACGGCTCCCCCTGACTGTCCTTCAGATCTGCTTGTAGGCCCAGCTGGCCAATGGGTCCCCCTCTTTTGTTATATATATATATATATATTTTTTTTTTTTTCTTTATTTATCTCAAAAATAAGACTATAAAAATTATATAAATTCATAAAAAATCACATAGTTAGCCAAAAATTCATGTTAATCAACTAAAAGTTACTTTTCACAATTTAACATAAATACATGTCTATTTATTATGAGTTAAGACTAAAACTATATTATTTACTAATTATTAACTCATGATAATGAAGACTTATCAACTATCACTTCTTGCACCATGGAATAAGACTTCTCCCAACTTAGGACCAACTTGTTCTCCACACATATTTTCAACACCTTGGACAAGTTAGATAAACAATCATTAAAAGATGATCCAAATATAGAAAAATCGTCCATAAAAATCTCTAGACAATCATTTACTAAGTTAGAAAACATGGTAGTCATGTATCTTTGAAAAGTAGCTGGTGCATTACATAAACCAAAAGGCATCCTTCTAAAAGCAAAAGTTCTAATAAGACATGCGAAAGTAATTTTCTCTTGATCATCTTCATGTATAGCTATTTGATTATAACCAAAATATCCATCAAGAAAACAAAAATATTCTTGTCTTGCAAGCTTTTCTAGAATCTGATTAATGAAAGGTAGAGGGTAGTGATCTTTCTTAGTGGCTAAGTTTAACTTCTTATAATCAATGCAAACTCTCCATCCTATTGTTAATCTAGTTTGAAGTTCCTCACCTTGTTTATTTTTCTGCACAGTAATACCAGATGTTTTTGGGACAACATGAATAGGGCTCACCCAAGGACTATTAGAGATTGCATATATAAAACCAACTTTCAACCATTTCATAATTTCATTCTTGACCACTTCAAACATGTGGGGCTTAGGCGCCTTAGAAATTCTCTAGATGACTTGACATTCTCATCAACAAAAAATTTATGTTCACATGTCCTTACTAATGCCATGAATATCATCAATAGACCAACCAATAGCAGATTTATGCATTTTAAGAATTTCCAACAATGATAATTCTTGATCACAAGATAAACGGGATGAGATAATAACTAGATAAGTTCTACAAGGCCCATGACATACATATTTAAGTGAGCTAGGCAATGGTTTTAATTATAATTTAGATGTAGGTAAATCAAGTGGAATATTTACAGTTTCATCCTCAACTTCAAGATCATCATCACAAGGAACTTCTGAATATAAAAGAGAAGAAGGTTGTTCAAGAATCTCATCCTCAATTACATCACAAAAACACATGTCCTCCCCTAAATTTTCTGGAAAGTTAAGGAGTTTAGATACCTGAACGTTCACCTTTTCTTTCCTACTTTAATTTTGACAATTCCTTTTCCAAAATCTGTACTAACTTGAGATGTAGCTGAGAAAGGTCTACCTAGAATTATGGGCGCATGGCTCAAATTCTCAATAACCTTCATATCAGCAACAATAAAGTCAACAGGAAAACAATAATTTTCCACTCTCACAATCACATCCTCTAGCTTCCTAATTGGTTGTCTAATTGATCCATCTGCTAGTTGTAGCTCAATAAAGATAGGCTCTACTTCACCAAATTTAAATTTATCAAAAATAGCTTTAGGTATAATATTCACACTCTCCAGTGTGTCCAAAAGTGTTCTACCAAAAATCATTCCCCCAATTACACATTTAATAAGTGGGGCTCCTGGATTCCTTCTCTTCCTAAGAAGCTGATTCAATAAAATGGAACTAATACTTTTAGATAATTGTATCATCTTCTGCTTTATCGACTGAGTACAAAGATTTTTAAGAAACTTAGAATAAGAAGGGATATTCTGAATAGCATCTACCAAAGGGAAAGTGATAGTTACTTAAAAATTTTAAGCAATTGACTATCATTAGGAGGGACTTTGGAAGACTTTAAAGCTTGGGGAAATGGAATAGGAGGCACATAAACTTTTGGATCAGGTTCAGGTATGGCTGATTTTTCTATATGTTCATCAAGAATTTTCATCAAAACATCATCAACTTCCTCATTTTTCACATCATTAAGCTCTTCAAAAGATCTAGGTTCAAATGGATCAGGTAATTCCTTCCCATTCCTAAATCTCGAAATTCCACTCACAAATTCATGCTCATGATGTTCTTCTTCACAAAAAATATTTTCATTTAAATCAACATGATGTGAATAATCATTAGCATGATCAATATAGGAAACATTTCTAGGATTAACACAAGGCTGGGTTGGGAGTTGACCTGAATTTTGGGTATTTTAACCCACATGATCCATTTTACCTTTGTTCTTTTCTCCTTTGAAGTTCCCTTGGAAACTTTGCCCTTCATGCCCATGGTTTTGCCTCTCTAGTTGCTCAATTCTGATCTATATCATCTTGTTCTACTCTAGCACTTCATCCTACTTCATCATTACCTATTTCAAAAGATCTATCATAGAGTTAGAAGATGCATCCTGAAAACTAGAAGTAAAATTTGAGCAAGGGTTAGGAGCAAAGTTCTGAAAATTCTGATAATTTTGTTGATGATATGGACGTGGCTGGTAGTTGTTGTTTCCCTCTTTATTCCATCCTTGATTGCCATAACCTCCTCTTTGATTCCAAACTCCTTGCATTTGAGTGTTTCTCTCAAATGCATTAACTTGTTCAAGAGTAGGGCAAATGTCATTAGTATGATCATAACTCTCACAAATGGAACAAAGAAAAGATGGCTTAGAGATTGGAGAGAATGAGGTAAAGTTAGAAGAAGGATTCATCATATTCTTCATCTGCTTGGTAAGCTCCTCCATAGCTTGGCCCACCTTGCCAATGTCCCCCTCCACTTTATCTCTCCATATATCTGGTTCTATAGTACTAACTTTAAGGAGACCTCCACATTTTGGTGCTGAAATCCATCCATTTTGACTCAATTCTTGATGATAAGCACAACTATCTACCAATTTCTCAATAATGTTAGTGGCTTCATAATAAGTCTTCATTATCATGAGTTAATAATTAGTAAATAATATAGTTTTAGCCTTAACTCATGATAAATAGACTGATATTTGTGTTAAAGTATGATTTGTGATTTTCAGTTGATTAACATGAATTTTTAGGTAATTATGCAATTTTATACGATTTTTATAGTCTTACTTTTGAGATAAATGAAGAATAAAAAATAAAAATATTGCAAAATGAGGGGACCAGCCGGCCAGCCAGGCCCGCAAGCGGGTCGGAAGCGCAATCAGGGAGTAGCTGCAAGCAGGGGCTCGAGCGGCTTGGCTTGGACCAATAGGGGCACGTGTGCGCCACTCCCCTTCCACGTCACCGGTGGCCAACCAGTTGTGGGGCAAGGAGTGGTTGTACATGCGAGAGTAGTGACTTTGCTTATAAAGCTAACATTACTATATATTCATCCGAAAAATCAGCACACAACCGATGTGGGACTAAACCCGCGTCACACCTTCCTCAGAGGTGGGTGACTGACGAGGGTTCGAATCTTCCCAGAGTCAAAATTCATATATTTTTATCTGATTATCGTGACTTTCTTGTAGATTGTTGGTGAAGGATTAAGTAACGAGAATCGCTGGATCATTGGCGAAAATCTCGTCAATGCGATTCGCGGAGTATTGCTACTAAAATTGTTGAACAATTCGCGATAAAGGGATTGCAATCCATCAAGTAAGTTATCTCCAATTGATCGACGAACAAGCCATCGTCAGGAAGAGGATGATCTGCCAGGAGACGAGTCGCCACCTCTTGAGAGCGTACCAGATGCGATGAAGAGCCTCCTCTTGCTGCGCGGACCTGAGGATGAAGCTCCCTAACACGCGCCCCACCTCCATCCAACTCCTCTCCGTCGAGTGATAGCTGCCGGAGAGCCGTAAAGTCACCATTTTTCTGCTCCGTCGGGTGACAGCCACTGGAGATGACGACCCACTTCATTGATCTCTAGACTTCGCGAGAAGATCTAGAGATTACCCACGTCGTCTTTGTCCAAGGAGAGCCTTCGAGGCTGTAGACACTACACAACGATCCTCTCGAATGTTCAGGATTCCGATACATTGCCGACGTATTGCTGTCGCGATGTCAGAACTCTGTTTTCCTGTTTTCAATTTACTTTACACTTCATTTAGTGATAATTTTTGTGTTTTTAAGTTATCAAAATATACTTTGTTCAATTACGATTCTTTCGGCTTTTACAGATCTTAATTTGATTAATTAAATCGTCTGTAATTGCTTACGCAATAATCACCAGGTGGAACTCTATTTCCACCCGCTTCACGTCCGCCGGGTGCTGATGTCATCCCGATGTCCGCACTCTTATTTCCTTTTTTTGTGAATTTTAAATATATTTCTTTTTTATTTTTTAATATAAAATGTATAGAAAATCGTATTCTTTGAGAAAAATTCTGAATAATTACCAGATATTATATTACATCTTTGTGATTGACTTGGAAAATTACTGCTATTTTTGGAAGTTTTATTAAATTATAATTGATATATAAGATCTTGGGTACTTTCTAATAAGATCTTTCATTCTATCTCATGCATCACTAAAAGAGTCAACTCCTTGGGTAAAATCCCTAATGGCTTTTCAATAAGCATTAGTTCTTCCAACTGAATAAAACTTTTGTAAAAATTAATTTTCCATTTCATTCCAATATTGAAAATTTTTACCCATGGTTCTGAACCAATCTTTCACTTTATCCGACAATGTATGAGAAAATATTCTCATTTTCAGCACATCTGCATTAACTCCTGCAATATTATGCGAATCACATTTTTCCACAAAATCATATAAATAAGCATGGGTATCCTCATTCAATTTCCCATAAAAAAGAAGGCAACATATTATAAACAGTAGAATCAAGTTTGAAATTCATATTTGCCTCAATGTTCCCATAAATCTGAGGCTGAATTTTACTATCAGCTGGTTCGTAAAATTCCCTTAGCCTCATTATTCTATTTTGATTGTTAAGCATTTCACCCATCTCCTCAAAATGTTGAGATTTTTCCACTGTTTCTAGGCTCATTAGAGGGGGTCATTGCGACCTTCTACCCTGCATACAAAGTCAAGACCAGAAAATAATGCAAAAGATGTCTTAAAAGAAAAGGTTAGAGGTCACCAAAGGTTGCCCTCTCACTCTTCTCCTTTGAGAAAATTCCCTGCACTTAACTAGTTAACTCTAAAATAGAAAAATCTGAAAGACAATAAAAATTTTCAAACTCAAAAAAAATTCAGAAACTAAATTTACCTTGCGTCCCCAGCAATGGTGCCAATTGATAAGTCCAAATTTAAGGGTTTTTGCGTAGCTCTTTTAATTCAAGCTTAACCAATAATAAATTTTCCACTTAGTTACTCTATATCATACATAATGCGAGTAAGGGGTCAATCCACAGGGAGACAAGAGTTCAATTTCAGATTTTTTTTAAGTCTTAGAAATGGTAGAAATAAATTTAGAAGTTAGGAATTCACTCTTTGGAAGTATTTCACGATTTTAGAGAGCTTAATAGAATTTTCTGGAATTAACCTGTGCATAAAATATAGCTAATGATTAGAATTTTATTTTTTTGTATTTGTTTCTAATTTTAATTTGTTAATTGATTTTAATTGATTTTTTATTTTTTATTTTTTATTTTATTTTAGTTTTTTTAATGCAAAAGAACAACAATAAATAATACTAAAATAACTTACCTTGGCGGTTGACGGTCGGCTCAGAGGATGGGCTGCACGGGTCGCAGATCTCTCGTGACAGTTTCCCGACCTAACCGAAATTTAGGACTTTCGATTACGTCCGGAAGGGTAGAGAGAGAGAGAGAGAGAGAGAGAGCGAACGGCAGCGACTGCACGGCGGCTGGCAAAAGGCGGCAGCAGTGGTCGGCGGACGTGCGGCGGCTGGCGATGGGCACGCGGCGATGCTCAGCTGACACGCGGCTTCTGGCGATAGGGAGCGGCGGTGGTCGGCGAACGAGAGAGACGAGAAGCGACGGGCACGCAGCGACCGGCAGCGAGCGCACGTCGGCTGGCGAAAAGCGGCGGCAGACCGAGCGACGGAAGACGGCGGGAAGTGACGGAGGCTGCGGGAGAAGGCGGAGAGAGCAGGAACGATGGGCGAAAACAGAGGGAAACGTGGAGCAGCTGAAGGGGGCGGAACGGAAGACAGAGCGATGGGAAACAGCAGAAAATGGGTGCTGATGTTCGTCCTTTGAGCCCTCAAGACTCCTTCCTCTTCTTGGATCCTTATATTCCGCTAGGATCAGGCGTTTTTCACTGCAAGAAGGAGAAGAACAAGAGTGAACGCGTCAAAACGACTTACATCTATCAAGGTGGATACCTCAAATCCTGGAGAATGTCTTGTCCTACTAGCTAGCCGTTGCTAGAGCACGTCCAGAATGGGATGGGAAAGAGGGAGGAAGAGAGTCTTTATACAAGGGTAAGTATGACTAAAATGCCCCTTCATAATTCCCTAGTCTCTCTCCATAAATTTCTACATCGCTTCCTCTACGGACTTAGGCGGGTCTAAATGGGCCTGGACATGGCCCCCGAACCTCCTCTAATTTCTCTTTGAAGATCCAAATCCGAAATTCCTCCAAAGTACTACTAGCCCATTAAGCTAACTTTCGTCCACTAAAATGCTCTTAATTTATTGTTGATTTCTGTTAAATTCTGCATGCATGAAAACTTGAAAATATTTATCAGTAATAAAACTGCTTGACTTCATAGAAGTCAAGTAGGGTTAGTCAAAAATCATGCAAAATTCATGCATAGTGTGCAAATAGTGAAATTAATGCAAATCCAAAAATATTTAAATCATTCTATTAATAACATGATATTTTCAGGATTTAAATGAACAAAAACCAGATGAAATGTAAGGAATAATCAACACAAATATCAAGTTATCATTGTCCAAGAGACAGACTAAATTTGGACAACAATTTATTTTTTACTTTCAATATTTACCTACTTGCTTTTGTCATTTATTTATATTTTACCATAAGTTATTCTGTTTCATACATATTTCGATTGAAATGAATATAACTAATTCAGAACTTGATAAATGATCTTTGTTCTTCTTTTGAATCATCCGAAACTTATTTGAGATTAAATTAAGATCATTTTCAACTTATTTTCTATTAATTTTTGCAGTTGAATCTTGACGTATTTATACTCCCTACATTCCACGAATAATAATTATTCTTCTATTTTTGAATGTGTAATTAGTAAAATTAAAAATTACTTAATAATCATTGAACTATTAAAATAATATAGAGATATTCATGACTGACCTCATGTCATGTGTGTGACTTCTCGAATAGACACTCATCCAAAAATAATGGTCACCATGAAAACAGGTTGATCATACTTTTCTCTTTCCTTATTATTGTCTTATTTCTCTCTATCCTTCTCTCGTGAGACTACTTCTTCTTTCTTCATTTCTTGTGAGATCTCACCCTCTCGTTTGATCGCTCTTCTTCTCTTTTTTTTCAATGATTGATTTCCCTCTCTCTCCTTCTCTCTCCCTCTCTCTCTTATGAGACCATTCTCTCGCTTTGTCTCACATGAGATTTCCTTCTCTCTTCTCTCTCTCCTCTCTCTCTTGTGAGATCTTTCTCTCTCTTCATCTCACATGAGATTTTCTCATCTCTCTTTTCTCTTTCTCATCTCTCTTTTCTTCCTTCCTTTTCTCCACTTTTCTTCCTTTATTCTTCTCACCTCACTATTCTATTTTATTATTTCTATTAAATATTAATAAAATATTAAAATCACTTTATATATTACTAAATTAGTTTTCACAACATATTAATCAATCTTCTTATGTTCAACCTGAGACTTACTTCTATATTAATATTTTATTAAGTCTTAGTTATAAATATTATTAGATAATGTGGATTTAAATACAACAACAAGTGCACATCACATATATATTATAACACTTCATAAAATTTCTACAAGTCTCCAATCTAGGCACAAGCCATGGGCCATAGGGATGGTTGCCTACATCATGTTATCATGAAATGAAATAAAATAAAAATAAATAAATAAAATATATTAAATATTTTTTCTTTTCTTTTCTTAAAAAATATATTAACTCTTTTAACTTCTAACCTTATAAATTAAATATATAAAACTATATTTTCTTCTATGAATTAAAATAATATATTATTTAAATAAAATAAGTTAAGAACCAAAAATCAAACATTAACAATCACATCAGATAACACTTAAAGTAATTTCAGATAACATGAGGAAGAAGCTAAATTACAAAGGAAAAGAAACTGTGGAAACATAATACATGGGAAGGAAGATCTATCATCACTTGCTACCACCTCCCCTTCTTGTTCATTCCACAACATCCAACTCCACCACCTATCACACTTTATCCACTTTTGAGAGTTGCCTCCTTCATCCTTTTCCCTTACATAGAAAATGCAACATAGAAAAGTGCTAGATAGTATTCACTTCCAACATATTAAGTCCTGTTCCTCTTGGTTAGACAAAATAGTAGCCTATCCCAATTTTGATTTTCTTGATGAAACCTGCACATACTACTTATCTTCCTCAATCAGTACTGGAAAAGAAATATCAAATTATTCAGCAAGCTCCTTGAGCAGATTCTTGAAAAACTAAATCAAACCTTTTGAAACAATCTAACCATTTAACAAAATTGGAAAATCCATCTATTTGCACAATGTTTTAGAAATTGTCCACTTTCCCTAATATGTAAATAGATGAGGATAGGGAAATGACAAGAGTGAGATACTAGGTATTTGACATAGTTATGATAGTGTTTTTTATTTTTCAAGGGCTTTTTTTACATTCGGTGATATCTTAAACCAAACATGCTAAATCATAGTTATTGGGCCAAAAATCTGTAGTAGTTTGGAAGTAAAATGATCAAGAAGGATCCTTTAATGCAAGTGAGAGATTGTTTTATGCAAGGAGGCATTGTATAATGTATGAAGATGCCAAAAAACTTTCTTCAACATTACAAAAGTAATAGCTGAAGTACAAGAAGCAATGTGATCCACATGTTTATGTCATAGTAATGGAGAAATGAAGATAATATGAAATTAATTAGGGAAGATTTTTTACCGAGGTAGAACTCTTGGAATGGTCGATATTAGAAGTCCTCAATCATGTGTTATGCAGTTATGCATTAGAAAATTAGGGATTGATAATGTTCTCAATTTAGAAGTTACAAACATAGTATAGGAAGAAAAAGTTTCGGGTATCAAAGAAATATTTCTTCTCTTTGTATGGCAGCAAAGGAGACCAATGTAATAATGATTTTTTACTCAAGTGAAAGAAGGTTTATAATCTGAAGGGAAATTGAGAGAAGAGAAAATTTTGCAACTTGATTCCTTTTAAAGGAGGGTTCAGTTTCTCTTGTAAAAGGTGAAGCCTTGATGCAGGACTTCATACAGATGATCACCCACAGATGCCCACATTCATTCCTTTTTAAATAATCCCTAGTTTACATAGCATCGACTCTCTAGACAGCATCCATCTCATAGGTCACCCATGGAATGCACATTGAATGCACAACTGAATACACCTGAAACATTATTGATAATATGTAGAAGGAACATCTTAATGAATCAATTTTATGTGATAATTAAGGCTAAATGTTAAGAGATATCAATTTTACAATGGTTAATCAAATTAAATAAAAAACATCAAATGGGTTTTAGAATATATTTCATGAATTTTTTGTCAAAAATCCAACTTATTATTTTTTTAGAAATTTGCATTTCACGATTTAACTCATATAAAAATGTATTATCTAAAGAATAGCCTTGAGAAATATTTCCCATTTTTGTATCCCCTTTTCTGCAGTCATAAACTTGTAGAACTTGACAGAAGGTCTTTTGGACATTCAACCCGTCGTCACATGACAAATGAAAATGGTGGCAGTAGTGCATTGACAAGGGAGTGGCTATGATGGAGTTGGGCTCACCTCCTACATGACAGGTAGAGGTAGAGCTGAGGATGGCAGTAGCATGGTAGTTGCATTTATAGTAGTAGTGAGTTCCCCTCCTAGGCAATAGGTGAAGGTGGAGCCAAGAATGGCAGTAGCATTTACTATGGTAGTGATAAGTCTTCATTATCATGAGTTAATAATTAGTAAATAATATAGTTTTAGCTTTAACTCATGATAAATAGACTTATATTTGTGTTTAAGTGTGAAAAGTGGTTTTCAGTTAATTATGTGAATTTTGGGATAATTATGTGATTTTACATGAATTTATATGATTTTTACAATCTTACTTTTGTAATAAATGAAGAAAAAAAATAAAAAATAAAAATAAGACAAAACAAGGGGGACCCGTCGCCCAACTAGGCCCGCAAGTAGGTCGGAAGCTCAATTGGAGAGTAGCCACGAGCAGAGGCTCGAGCGACTTGGACCAATAGGGGACACTTGTGTGCCACTCCCCTTCCATGTCACCAATGACCAGCTGGCTGTGGGGCAAGGAGTGGTCGTACACGTGAGAGAAGGGACTTTGCTTAGAAATGTAACATTAGTATATATTCACCCAAAAAATCGGCACACAGCCAATGTGGGACTAAACCCACGTCACACCTTCTTTAGAAGAGGCGGGCAACTGACGTGGGTTCAAGTCCCTCTAGAGTCAAAAGTCATATATTTTTATTTAATAATCTCGACTTTCTTGCAGATTGCTAGTGAAGGATGAAGTAACAAAAATCGCTAGATCATCGGCAAAAATCTCGTCAATGCAATTCGCAGAGCATTGCTACTAAAATTGCTAAATGATTCACGATAAAAGGATTGCAAATCCATTGAGTAAATCATCTTCGATTGATCGATGAACAAACCATCATCAAGAAGAGGACGATCCGCTGGGAGATGAGTCGCCACCTCCTGAGAGCATATTGGATGTGATGAAGAGCCTCCTCTTGCTCCGCAGACTTGAAGATGAAGCTCCCTAACACGTGCCCCACCTCCATCTAGCTCCTCTTCGTCAGGTGATAGCCACCGAAGAGCCGCAAAGTCATTGTTTTTCCACTCCACCAGGTGACAATTGTTGGAGATGATTCGATGACCCATTTCATTAATCTCTAGACTTCACAAGGAGATCTAGAGATTGTCCATGTCGTCTTTGTCCAAGGAGAGCCTTTGAGGCTGCAGACACTACACGACGATCCTCTCAAATGCTCAGGATTTCGGTGCATCACCGATGCATCGCCGTTGCGATGCTAGAACTCTATTTTCCTACTTTCAACTTACTTCACGCTTCAATTAGTGATAATTTTTGTGATTTTAATTTACTAAAATATACTTTATTCTATTACGACTCTTTTAACTTTTATAGATCTTAATTTGATTAATTAAATCATCTGTAATCACTTACATAAGAATCACTAGACAGAACTCTATTTTTGCTTGATTTGCATTCACCGAGTGCTAACGTCATCTTGACGTTTGCACTCTTATTTCCCTTTTTCGTGAATTTTAAATATATTTTCTTTCATTTCCTAATATAATATTTATAAAAAATCTTATTCATTGAGAACACTTCTAAATAATTACCAAATATTATATTACATCTCTATGATTGTCTTAGAAAATTACCAATATTTTTAGATGTTTTATTAAATTATAATTGATATATTTATTCATAAATACTTCTAAATATCTAAAAAATTATATTTTCTAGTTTTATAAATTTTAAATTTGTGTGATTTAATATACAATGACAAAGTCACATCAAATTTTAGTGCCATTGCTAGAGATGTATTGCATAATATTTAGTATTTTTCTATTTTTCTCTTAGAGTACACAAAAAAGTTTAACTCTTGCTTTATTTTTTTTAAAAAAAAAGGAGAATGAAGAGAAGCAAGGTAAGGACTAGAGCATATTGAAGGAGGGTAACAATTACTAAACTTTTCTCTTGAATTTATTGATTTTTATGTATGGTAAAAGATCCTTGCATCCAAGGCTAGAAAATCCTTTCATTATTTCATTCAAAATTTAAAATCCGAAAGAAAAATCAATTTTGATGAATCTTGAAAGAAGTATAGGTCAAACTGAGAGCAATCCTATGGCCATGAAAAATCATTATATCTTGTATTCATTTCAAAGAGCATCTAATATTAGAGTCCTATTAACACTCACTATTAAATTCAAAATAAATCTAAGAATTTTTCAAATGCTCCCTAATTTTCATGGATTGCCTTTAGAGGAACCTCATCAACACTTAGAAAAATTTCATATGATTTGTGATTTAGTTAATCTCTCTCAAATTATACCAGAAATTATTAAGATGAAATTATTTCCTCATGCACTTAGGGACAAAGCTAGTCATTAGCTATCCACATTAGATAGAGAATTAACTAGCTGAAAAGACATAGAATAGGCCTTTCTTCAAAAATTTTATCCCTTAGGAAAAACCCAAAATATGAGAAAATATATATGAAATTTTTCTCAAAGATTAGAAGAAACTTTGCATGAGACATAGAAAAAATTCAAAGATTTACTTAGAAAGTGTCCTCATCATGCTATACCCAAGTGGCAGCTCAATAGAATTTTTTATGATGGATTATTAGAATAAAATAGAAACATGGTTGATTCTATATGTGGAAGAGCTTTTATAGAGAAAACCCCTGATGAGATTTATAGTTTTTATGAGAATTTAAATAAAAATTCTAGAGATCAAGCTTCTTTTGAATTATATGATAGGGATAAGAAGAGAAGAATTTATAAATTACATTATGATGATGATTTTAAATTTAGAAATGAGGTTAATCAGATTAATCAAAGATTAGAAAAACTTGATTTACTTATTGACAATATTAGAAAGCCTCTTAACCCTCAATTTAATTCAAATAGTACACGTCTTATGTATGGTGAAAATGATCATTTCGAATTTCAATATCATCTTAGGCAAGAACAAGTGTAGGTACCCCACAATTTTAGTAAAAATAGGGAATATTTTTCTAATTCTTATAATCCTGTGGAGAAACCCAAATAATATTCAAAATCCAGAAGCACTTAGATCCAATTCAAATTTTGAATTTCGTCAAAATAAGAAAATAGTTTTCAGAAAAATCAGCCCTTTCAAACCCAACTTGATACTATGGAAATGATGCAACAAATGAGCCAAATGATGTAACAAACTATGAATTAAATGATGTTGCACCAAAAACAAATTATGGAGGCTCTTGGGAATAAGAGAGAAGAGGGACAGCTACCTAGTTAGCCTGTAGAAAATTCAAGGAATTGTCTAATAATAGGATTTTAGCAAAGGGAGTCTAGTAGTATGAATCTAAGAAAAAAACCCACAAAATGAAAATGTTAAGACAGTGAATACACTGAGTGAGAATATTTTACTTGATCCTTATTTCCAACTATTAAAAGAAATCGATGATCCATTAGAAGTAAATGAGAATATTAAGGCCAAAAATATAGTAGTAGAAATTTTGAATAAAATTATTTATTACTCACAATTGATGAATGAATATAGTGAGGATGCTGAGGAGAAAGAGTCCTTAAATAAAGAAATAGTAGCTAATCATAGAAGAATCATCCAAATTTTAGTAGAAGGGAATAAGGACAGAAATGAAAAAAAATATATTTCAAGTGAGAAAAAAATAGTTGATTTGGGAGATGTAGGAGACAAAATTAATAAATCTAATCATAATTTTGTAGCCATGGATGTTGATAGTGAGGATGACGATGTATATCATATACCGAAATTAAAAGATAGCTCTTGGGAAGATAAAGAATTTGATGAGTTGAGAAACGAAAAACTAGAAAAAGAGTTGATTCAACTAATGGAGAGAAACGAAAATAATGAATATGAGTATAGAGATAATTTTGGAGGAGAAAATTTGAATTTTACTGAATTCATTAGATCTGAGATTAAAGAAGACAATCCTTCCATCCTTCAAAACCCACAGCCAATTAGAATTATTTTTAAGCTTGAAATATTTCATTCCTTGCAAATTGAACAAATATATATGAAAGATAAAATAGAGCAGGCGAAGATTATGTAGATAAAAGAACACATTAATAAATGGGTGAGTGGAAGAATTAGAGATCAATTTAGATGAAAAATTTTAGATTGGGCAAGAGCTAATTTGAAAATTATATGGCCTGATCACATTTTATGATCTATTAATAGAAAGTATTTATTAATGATTGAGAGGCTTAAAAAATAAGATAGAAATAAGGAAAGATTCTTTTCAAAATGAAAATATTATTTTTGAGAAAATTTTGTTAATTTCTATTTTGTTTTGGTTGAAAGTATGTCAAGGTATATATATGAAGTATATGAATTTATGTTAAATCTGAAAAAGCATATCATGAAACTTACCTTGGGATAAAAATATATTTTGATGGCCATAGATCATCTTATATGATCTAAGAGATGTCCAGCTGAAGATATTAAATTCAGTGCTACATGGGAGGCAACCCATGGTTTTTATTTCATTTTGTTTGATTTTTTTAAGTTCTATTTTTCTTAGAATTTCGCAATACTTGTTTCTGTATTTGTTTTTTTTTCAAAAAAGTGCAGGAAAAGGAGTGTAAGATGAAGTAGAAAATTAAAAACGAGGTTGAGGTGATGTCTTTTTGAGCTTTATCATTTATGAAATTATTTTTAATACTTAACTTTGCACATATGCATGCTTCACGTGAAAATTATATTTTCTACATATTATGTTCGATTTTTCTATGTCATTGAGGACAATGTCATTTTTAAGTTGGGGGATGAAGTATTCATTATTAATTTATGCTGTAGGACGATTAAGAACATGTGTTTGTAATTTATTCATTTTTAAGGATAATATTAGATGTTCTTTGAAATAAATATGGAATATAATGATTTTTCATGGTCATAAGATTGCTCTCAGTTTGACTTGTACTTCTTTCAAGATCTATCAAATTTTTTTTTTTTTTAAGATTTTAAATTTTGAATGAAATAATGAAAGTATTTTCTAGCCTTGGATGCAAGGATCTTCTACCATGCATAAAAATCAGTAAATTTGAGGGAAAAGTTTAGTAATTGTTACCCTCCTTCAATATGCTCCAATCCTTCGTTCCCATTTAAAAAAAAAAAAATCAGCAAAAAGAAAATAAAACAAGAGTTAATTTTTTTTGTATACTCTAAGAGAAAAATAGAAAAATAATAAATATTATGCAATACATCCCCGGAACAGCACCAAAATTTGACGCAACTTAGTTATTGTATATTAAATCACACAAATCTAAAATTTATAAAACTAGAAAATATGAATTTTTGGATATTTAGAAGTATTTCTGAATAAATATATCAATTATAATTCAATTAAAATTTCAAAAATAACGGTAATTTTTCAGGTCAATCATAGGGATGTAATATAATATGTGGTAATTATTCAGAATTTTTCTCAATGAATAAGATTTTCTATGAATTTTATACTAGGAAATGAAAAGGAAATCATATTCATTGAGAAAAATTCTGAATAATTACTAGATATTATATTACATCCTTGTAATCGACGTAGAAAATTATTGCTATTTTTGAAAGTTTTATTGAATTATAATTGATATATTTATTTAGAAATACTTTTAAATATCTAAAAATTCATATTTTTTAGTTTTATAAATTTTAAATTTATGTGATTTAATATACAACGACTAAGTCGCGTCAGGTAGCATGGTGGTGGCATTCATGGCAGCAACACGTTGACAACATGGATCTTTTTTTTCTCCCTTTCTCAACCATCTCTAGAGTGATATATGAAGAAGGAATGAGATTTCCACATATTAGTTTTTTCTTTACTGCATCTATTCACTATTTTTTGTTCTTTAATCTCAATATAGGTTCTCCTTCTATGGATCTTTGAGTGACACAACAATTTAAACAGGGTTATATTTTGGTGATTTATCATTTTTTTTATAACTTTCATGTATCTTTCTATTTCGTCCTATGTTGAGTAACAACATCAAAGGAATGTTCTTTACTGATTTTTATATGATTTCGTATTTTACTATTTTGATTGATTTCATCGAGCACACACTTCTTTGATTAATCCCTAATGACATAAGGATCAGGAGAGGACTATTTTCTCACCCCTTTTTCAATTTTCATTCCACTTTCTGCTCATTTCTGTATCCTTTGATGGCAAATTTGGTGACTTACTCGTCATAAAGGAACTATGTTTCTTTCTCCTTCTTTTAGTTTTGCTCACTCTATACTTTTGCTTCTTTTTGATTTAATAAGAATTTGGAACATAATTTGATATTAGAATTTCATAGTCGTCCTTGAGAGTTAATCCAAAGTCACTAAGATTTTAAAGTAATTTCCACAATATAAATATTAACTTTTGATTTGTTTTGGTTTAATGACTAAGATGTTCAGAACACAATGTTATGTTCTAAACTAATGAAAAGTTTTATGAGACTTATAAGCTCTACTAGTGTCTGATAATTATAAATTAGTAGTTGCATCTATGTATTAATATCTTATATATAGATGCTAATTAATGGGTAGAGAATATAATTATATGTGTTATTGACTCATTATGACATTCATAATATTTTATTATTCACAATTATACATATTATTTTATTTATTTTATTTCTATTA